TAAATAGCCTATTCCAGTACTTTAACATAAGTAATAATATGACACTGCTACTTTTACTTGTATTGGAGCAATATTTGACCAGGTGTATCGTTACTTAACTGAACTAAAGAAATGCCTTACTGTCTAGAAATACTATCTAGAAGTACTTTTTAGAAGTACATGCCTTTGTCTCGGGCACTGACAATGACATTTTCCTCCCCAGCGCGAGAGGGCGCCTCACACGGACAGAGGAGTGCATACGAGTTCCGTGATGCGTGATGGACGTTGTTCGCTATTAGTCTTTAGCTTCGGTCTGTTATTCACTTTAAAGGTCATGTTTCTAGTGTGTCCATGTTTCTAGTGTGTTAGGTTCAGATCTGCTCGTGATCAAAGAACAAAGATGTGGGCCGAGCGGAGCACAGACGATCTGTTCGATAGCATCCTCATGGCGGAGGAAAGGTGCGTGTAAGAGTACTCCGTTACTTTTACTGTTACTGTTACTAACCATTACTAGAGTTTACATGTCAAAGACGGTGACATGCCGCAGCATCCTCATGGCGGAGGAAAGGTACTGTTTATGTATACAGTCTCTATGGTACTGTTACTGTCATGTCGTAGATGGTCTCATATGCAACATGAACCAGACCTCCGGATTCTTCTCATTATGAAACAGACTCAGAAGGTGATTGATACAAACCGACATGCGAACATGACAGAACAGTTTAAACAGCACTTCGGTTACGGACAGCAAATACTCTGTTATCTTTCTAGTCTTTTCAGCGTGCTGTTGTGACGCTCTGTCCACCTGCTCACTGAACAAACTGGAGAAGCCCTGGTTTTCACTGTCTACAGTGTATCATCAATCATATTCCCAGATGGGATCAGAGACAGAATACCCTATTGGTTATGTTGTACTTTGCCATGAAATATCCAAAAGGTAAATGCAAAAAAAAAAAAAAATAGTTGCACCATCACTGAGTAGACCCTATGAATCGTTATATAGCCACATAAATCTGCATGTGAGCCATATTCATTTTAGTTGCCTCATTTCTATTAATATTTGCCAGAAGAATGTTGCGATGTCTAAAACCATGAAAAACCAAAAGCACAAAGGGCTGCACAAAGCCCTATTATTAATCTGTGATACTCTAGCCATTGGCCTAATAACTGTTCTGCTACAAATAACTGTAGTCTGCATTGTTGTATTTTTCAGTTTTGTGTTAAATAAACTACATCACTGGTCCATTTAACACAAGACCAAAGCACTGATTTCACTGATGTGTGTGCAGATTCCATGGAGAAGGTTACAAAGAGGGCTATGAGAAAGGCGCCCACAAGGGCCTACAGGAGGGCCGCAGACATGGGGCCATGCATGGGGCCCAGCTCTCTGCTGAGGTAAAAGAACATGATAACACATGCTCTTCTTTTGGTTAAATGTGTGTGGGACAGAGCACCACATAGTACAAGTCACAAGGAGGAGGAGTTTAACTTATGTCATTATGTTTGAAAACTGTTTTTCCTGTTCTGTCTATGAGTAGCTTTCAGTTGATGATGATGTGTCTAACATTGTAGGGAATAGTGTAGAAATTCATACACTGCCATGCATTTCTGCTTATCTGAACTTCTGAAATGCAAGATGGCAGCGGGATTTTATTTAACATAAAAAATGACAAATAATGTAATCTATCAAAGTCATCATTTTGAGCACAAGTCAGTTGCAAGGGCTGTCGGGTCCATGTGGAAAGTCTAATAAATTTTTGCTTGTCAAATTGACAAATGAAAATGTTTGTCTTAAGGGGTATTCCCTGATTTCATTACCTTGATAAAGGAACTAAAATAGGAAGGAATACAGATAATTGAGTTTAAAAATACCAAGACTAAATCAAGAGAATGGCGACAATGTTTTAGGACATTGCGATGAACTCAAAATGTAGGCCTTTGCAGAAACAAAGTATGAATCTTAAGCCTGTGTTTCCTGTGTGGAATGACTGCAGCCTTCCCCAGAAAAGTTTAGGGCTCAAAACTAGGCTCTATGGGGCTGATGTGGGCATAGCACCATAAAAATCCCTCCATACAAAAGGTATTTCAACAATTTCTCTTCTGTGCTCTGATTTTGGTGAAACATTCTCTTTGTTGTTATGTCAGACAGCTTCTGTTATCAAAGTGCAGTTCTCAGGGATGAAGAGAGACATTTGTGAGATCATCCTTCATGTGAAAAGTGTGAAAATGATTCTACTTTGTGCATGGGCTGTTCTTGGAGTTTCCTCTTTTACCTGTGTGAATATGCTTTACTTTAACATGGATCAAATGCAAAATGTAAAAAAAAATTGCTTTATGGTGTTGCCATAGTAAAATGAAAGCATGCACGAAATAATCTATGTAGGCTGGTGCACTTTAAAGAAATCAGGCAGTGTTCTATTCTCCGCTTTTGGTCCAATGTTGATGTAAGCTTTGACTTCTACAGGTGTCCTTTTACCATGGCTTTGCTGTCACATGGAAATGTCTCCTCTGGAACAATACAGATGCCAAAACTAGGTAGTGTTTGGCTTTATTTTTCAACTGTTGTCACTAATATTTAGTATGTTTTATCACACAAGACTCTTTGTTTTGGTGTCAGGAAACGTGTGAAGACTCTAGAAGCGTTCTTGAGTTTGATAGAGAAGTCTCTGTTAGATGATCCCCAGTCTGAGAAGCTGAAAGAAGACATGGACAAGCTCCGTGCCAAATTCAGACAGGTATGCACAAACCTGAGATTTCTTAGTATGGGTACCTGATTTTCCTGTACAGGCGTTGGTTATATGCTCAGTTACATTTACTTGAGTAACTTTTTTACAGAAATTGTAGTTGTCTAGCAGCAAACTTTTACTCTTACTTGAGTAATATTTTTATTGAAGTAAGACTACCCTTATTTCAGTAAAAGTTGTGGTTCCTCTTCCCACTGTGAGTAAGTCTACAAGAGACAAAAGCTTTATGTTGACAGTCTGAAACAATTTGAACATTTGTGTTTGCACTGCTACATCAGTTATGAATTCTGTCTCATTTTTCAGTCAGTTCTTCTGGGCACATTTAAAACGTGAACTCTGAACAGAGTCTAATCACAATCTAAACATTTGCTTTCATCCTTCCTCTTTGGCGCGGATGTCACTATTATTCAGACGTATGGATTTTATGGGTACCACGTTAGAACAGGTTTTTTTTTTTTTTTTTTTTTTTCGTTTTCTTTAAGCTGTATCAGACTACATAGACTGGTATATGACCACAGACCACTATCGATGAACCTACCTGGACCACTGCGGGATTACAGATATTCTTTTATATTACCACATGGCAATATAAAAGAAAGTACTACTTAATGTTGAAAATCACATTCTATTAAGAGTGTTTTATTTATCATCATCGTGGTATCAGAATATCATGGTATCAGAATCTAGGCTTTTCCTTAGAATTAAAATCAGGTTTGAAATGGTAGTATTGTGCCAACTCAATCCATAGTTGTTTTCTGTATTTGTTGTCGTGCAGGTGTGTTCCACGTTAAATGTCCCTGCAGACTTTAAGGACTTTTTGAAACTGGCAGCGGGAACATCCTTCTAAGCAACACAGGACCAAAGGCTGTTGTTTGTCTGGAGACTGGACAGTGCTCTGCTGCTTTCTGATGGTGGACACTGAGAGGGCAGAGTAAGAGCTGCATCAGTCTGTGTGTTCTGTGACCTGCAGTGTGGACTACCTAGAGCTCATCAGGAACACTGATTTCAGCTCTGGAGAGAGACATAGACTTAAATGCAGGATTTACTCAAACATGCGCAAATGAATCCAAACACAACTCTGTTTCTGTAAGATGACAAACGCAGATCCATGGTATGGTTACATTTTATTATTACATTATGATATGTTATGTTGTAACGTAACATAACCTTCAATATTAGCCAGTCACAGCAATAAAATGCTGCATATCTTAATTGTAAAACATAAAAAAATTACAAAAATACCTTATATTGTCAGTAGAGATAATATTTGTACACTTGGCATATTGACTATTGGCCTTAATCTCTTGCGCAGGCCAATATTTTGTATGAGCCAACCAGATGCCATAAATCTGCATCATTCTTTATCTGAACACTTAGGTGCAAAGAGGATGCTGCACAAAATGTGACCACACAGCCCTCATATTTACTTATAAAAAGAGGTTTGTGGATCATTGTGTATGAGTGTGTAGTCATTTCATTTTGGCCGTCAGTTTATCTAAAATCAGTATCTGCATTGGCCGTGGAAACCCACAGCAGTTGGTTTCTAATCATCAACCTCAAGCAAGGCTCGACTGACTGTGATCAAACCAGTTGAAGTAAATGTGATCAGCAGTAAAATGAAGACTGCATACGTATGTGCTGTTTGGGATCATCTTGAATTTGGCGCCTCATCTCTTCTAATTGCAGTGTGCTTGCAGTTGTGTGTCAGTGGGGAAATTATGAAATTGTTGATGAGCTGAACATAACTGAACGCTACAATGACATTTAAATGAAGAAAACTGGGCCGTTTTCTCATTTTTTGTAGAACAGAGCCCGCAAGAAGTTGTAATCGCATCTTTCCGCCCACAAACCTACATCACCCATGTTCCCACACGACAATCTTCCATAAATATACAAATACATGATACAAAACTGTACACAGCAACAAACCTGATGTGACGTGCGATAGTTTCATTAGTGGGATGCATGGTGATTGTGTTGTGATAGTGCTCAGAAGGGGGAATGACTTAATGCTGGGAGCAAAAGAAGGAGTTTATAATAATAATAATCATTTACATATATATGAAAATCTGCCTCAGATCCAGTTTACAGTTATATTACTTCATAAATCAAAGTTATTGTAAGCTTTTTAAGTTGTCAGTGACATAGATTTACTGTTTTATTTACTCATATTTAGATATTTAATAATTTGAAAAAGCATACATTATATTAAAATGGTTTATTGCTGTATTTTGCAGTTTCATCATTAAAGAAAATTTTGTGTCCATTGTCACTTTATATTTTTTCCCCTTCTGTTATTGTCAGAGGTCGGCACAGTAGCCAAAATTGTACTCGTAAGAGTAAACTTCAAAATAATGTTACTCAAGTAGAAGTACAAAGTAGTGATCCAAAAAATTATCCCAGTGACAGTAAAACAGTATTTGAGAGAAGAGTAACTGTCGGGACGTAACAACAGAGTCAAAGCAGCATCAGACTGGAACAATTTGCCAAACTCTCTGTGCTCCACATCATCATTCCATATCTTTAAGACAGACTTATTCATTCATCTTAAAACACAATGTGACTGCTTTTAGTGAGGGGCCTGTTTGATTGTTATATTAACGTTTCTCTATGTTTATCTTTAATGTCTGTGTCTATGTATTTTGTCTTATCGTTCTGTGTTTCTGTTTATTAGATATGTTGTTTTGTTATTGTATTGTTTTGTTTTGCTTGTTTGTATTTTTGCGACTTGTTGTATTCTTTGGATGCTAAGGATCCCCCTCGAAAACGAGGTGACTCACCTTAAGGGGCTTTTCCTTAATAAAATAAACGTAATAATAATAATTTGATTATTAATTTGAAGAGAAGGCAGTGTGAAGGGCAAAACATTAATTAATGCACAAAATCTAATATTTTCAAAGGATAGACAAATGTTGACTTAAGTTAAAAAAAAAAAAAATTACTGAAGTATGCTGCCAGACAAGTGACAAGTATAATTACTTTAAAAAGTTACTCAAGTAAACGTAACTGGATACTACCCACCTCTTGTGATTGCACAACTTTTCCTGAGCCACCAGAGGGCACTGTTGTTGAAAACACTTAATGGCAATATCTTGTTGAACTATTTTAACAGTTGATATGTTGTTTGCTGTTCACACAGTGGTGTCCAATAAAATCAGAGCTCTACTTCATGGTACTTCAGACTTTTCATTTTGTCCAGATGGGGCTCTAACTTAAGAAAATTGTGGTAATGGTGTAATTCTGTATATTTAATTGTACTGTAGCACAAAATTAAATGACAGTGTTTCATAATTATATCAAATGTATTATTATAATTGGATCTTTGTTTGCTTCTTTAGTTCCACTGAGCTTCCGTCCTGCCCCCCACCCAACCCCGCCCTACTCAGCTTGCTCACCTGCTCTCCACGTCCCAGTGTGAGGTGTGAAATTGCAATCTGCGCTCTGAAAACATGAACACAACTTTGTATGCTTCTGTTAACACTAGCTCTACTGTGGCCCTTTAAGTGCGGCCCCTGCCCTTTTGAGCCCTGTGTAAGGGGCCCCCAGCATGTACTAAGTGTATACATGCTGTTAGCCCGAGTGCTCACACCCGGCCACAATAGCATCAGAAAGCTCCAGAAGGGCCAGCTCAGCCTTTGTCCACCTGGCCCTCTTTTCAAATCCATGTCCAGAGGCTCGATGACAATTCCCCCCCCACCCGGGTTACTGTAGCAGCTGGTTGGTGCATGGCGCTGGGGTGGCAGGTGAATGCTGTCCTCTAGTCGGCAGCTTCAGAGGGGTCACAGTGAAAGGAAAGAGAGGGCTTCTGGGGAGGCTCATTATGCACACGGGGCCCAAAGGAGCACTGAGCACACAGTGGCCGGCCGCGGCTGGCAGCAGCCTGCCGTCCAAGAAAAATTTAGTCCAGGCAACTAATGCCCTCAGCACAGAGAGTCTCTCAAACCTTTCACACAAATGTCTCCCTGCACAATGTTTTCTTCTTCAGGTACCACCAGTTATATGTGGTCCTACACTATTTCTATTGAAGTTTTAAAGCAGACCTATTATGCATAATCGGCATTTCAGAGATTTTAACCCTGTTATAATTGTTTCCACTTCTCATTTTCCCTATTTTACCCCAAAGTTGTATTTGGAGCTACTCTGTACTAACTTTACTTTCCAATTTTATTTTCTTAATCAGTGATACCTGTAGGTTTTGGCAGCTTCGCATAGTCAAATAGAAAAAAATCGGCTGCTCCATAGCATGATCTGCTGCTATCCATAGGAGGTGCCACCTCTTTGTTGTGATGTCTGCTCCCATTGGGCACCGCAGTTTTCTATCTCAGAAGTCAGTGGACTTGTTTCTTGTATTAAATCTTTTTACATGAATATGGTGGTATTTACTGCAGACAGAAGCACAATATGCCTTCTTTAAGGGTCCTGTGTTACACAGTTATTGTAATATTGTAAAGTATTGTCCTTTTGGTGCTCTTCAGTGTAGGGACCAGTTTCAAATACAAAGTAGGAAAAAACTGAGGCAAATAAAATTAAAATCACGCCAACGCGTTTTGGCCCTTCGGCCTTCAGCAGGGCAAACTGACGTGATTGGCATGATTTTAATTTTATCTGCCATGTCGTATTAAAGGCTTTTCATTATTTTGTACTTTTTGAGTGCCTCAGTTTTTTCCCACTTTGATTCTTGAAAGTTGTTTGTTTGTTTGTTTTTTTGTCTTATTTTGGTTTGTTTTGTTTTGTTTTGTTTCATTCACACGTTCCAGAAATCTGTCCACATCGCCAAAGCTCAAAATGTTCTTTTCCACCTGGTTGGTAAGTTTTCAAGTTAACAGCTCCTTTTACCTTTAGTTCAGTAGAGATTGGCAATTCTAGAGAAAGTATTACAACATGATATCACAAGGTGGGGTGTTTTCTGTTTGAGAGAACTCAGCCTAAATATGCAGGTATGTTTGTGATGAAGAGACCACATTATTAAGTTAGAAAATAGTGTAATATCAGTAATATCAGCCCTTTCAGCAATGATAAACCCAAGGAAGTGGGTCCTGTGTTGACCAGAGGCTGGTAGTGCTCTATGAGGTTATTTTGGTCTCATTAATATTCACAAATACACAGATGGTGATCTACAAATAGTCACTGATTTGTACATATGTTTTGATGTCCACAAGAAATCCAGAGAGAAATCCACAAAGTCAGACAAATCCATAAAGTCAGACAGATCCACAAATACAGACACGTACACGTACAGCAGGGGGCAGCAGCTGCACACGAAACATTTGACACTGCCGAAATGGAAGCGTCTCTTGCTAACTTAACGTCACTTAGGCTAATGTTTACCTTTATCAAACACCTCAACAGCTAAGGACTAAACCAGAACTGAACCAGGACTGAACTAGGACTAAAACAGGACTAAACCAGAACCGACTGTCTGAATGACCCGGAGGTGTGCCCGCGCAGACCGTCGGGTGACCGCGAGTGAAAGGACCGACTCAGAGCTCCGCGCCTCGCGGGGCTAAACGCGGCCGTCACCCGAACGCGCTTTGCGGACAACGTGCTCCACGGCTCGGGGTCCTCCCTCTCTCAAGTCAAAGATTAGTCCTGGTTTAGACCTGGACTGAACCAGGACTGAACCTGGACTAAAACAGGTCTAAACCAGGATGGTTTGAACATTTGTGTTTCTTACACCGCTCCTTCAGATATGATTTATTTGGTCTCAATTTTGTGTCTATCCTTTGACCAGATTATCTGCATTATTTCATGTTTAGTCCTTCACATTCATGAACTTAAATGTATAAATCAAATGTTATGTCCAGACAATTACTCTTTAAGTTACTCTTACTTCATTTGTAGTTTTCCCAAATACTTTTTACTCAGACTTTAAGTAATTTCTTGGACCACTGCTTTGTACTTATACTTCAGTATTATTCTGAAGTAACATTACTCTTACTAATATTACTCATTGTGGCTATACCGGCTTGTAAAAGCCTGATCCCTTCAGATCTCAGAAGCTCAGCAGGGACGGGCCTGGTCAGTACTTGGATGGGAGACCACTGGGAAAATCAGGTGCCACAGGAGGCGCCAGTGGGAATAACTGTCATTGTGTCCTTAGGCAAGACACTTCACCCACATTGCCTGGTGTGTGCGTGAGTGATGGTGGTGGTCGGAGGGACAGATGGCGCTGATTGGCATTGCAGCTGCGCTTCTGTCAGTCTGCCCCAGGGCAGCTGTGGCTACAATAATAGCTTACCATCACCAGGTATAGAGTGAATGAATAATGCTGAATAATGTCCTGTAAAGTGTCTGTGAAAAGCATTATATAAATAAAGGTTTACTTACTTACTTACTCTTATTTGAGTACAATTTTTACTTCTCTTTCCAGTTGAAATCCTGGCATTACCACTGTGCAGCTAATAACATGATTGTTAAAAGTCTTTATGTGCTCCAAGTATTTTTCCCAAAAAGGACAATTTACAGTTTTTCTCAGTTGTTTTAGCACACTTTTTGAAACTTGGTTTAGTTTGATCTTTTGATCAAGCATGTATCTGTCAGGGGCACAGAAGCTCACATTAGTTGGAACATTTCTCATCAGCTCACACAGTTCTCAGGCTCTTTCTCAGGACATTTGGCACAGCTCTTATTCACAAACACATATGATCAGTGTCACCATGTTTTTGTTTGTTTTTTAGCACTACAGCTCTGTTCTCATGTGCTAAAGGACTTTGGCCCAAACCCTGTCACCTTCAATATAGAACCTCAGACAGAACAGCAAATCAAATTTTGTGAGCAACAAAAGTCTAACAGCAAAGGATTTCACACATGAGTCAGGGAGAAAGTAGACACTGAGCACATGTATAGATTACATACAGATTTTCTGAGATATATAGTTCTGTTTAATTTTTAAGAGCACATTATATGTTATGGTATTTGCTATTCCAACATCTTTCAATTTTCTTCTGCTTAAATATATTTGATCAAATACTGTAAACAGTTGGTAATGTACTTTTATATTTTACATAACACAATACAGAAGCACAGCTTTTCCAGTCTTAAATTCATCTGTGTGAAACCCAATAGCTGACTGCACTAAACCAGTGATTCTCTGTTGTTACTGAGAGCAGGACTTATAGTTTTGAGTTGCATTGTGAATGAATGAAAAAGCGCAAAAAAATACATGATTAAAGTGTAAGAGTTTTTATGGTAAAACTTGCTTTAAGAAGATGATCGATCAGTTTTGAATGAAAAACTTCCTTTTGCTGAGATTAAATTTTGTTTAGGAAAATCATGAC